CCATCCCTGCCCTCCCTGGCACACAAACAGGGTGTTAGCTGTGTGGAGCGGGCCTTAGAAAAGCAGAGAAAGGACTGAGGACCCGCTGTAGATTTCTCTGCGAATGAGTCAGCAAGAATAGCACGTCTGCAGAGAAGAGGTGTGGTGGTGCCCCAGCGGTGGGGGCCGCCCCTCCGCGTGCTGCGCCGGAGGAGACATTGGCATATTGCTCACCGCCACCTTTTACACCTTGCAGCTCCTGACTGCTTCTCGCACGTGCCGTGTGGCGCTGAGGAGGCGGCCTTGACTCGCTGGAAGACCTTTCTGCATCCTGATGGCGATCACTTTACGCTCATCAACATTTACAAGGCCTACCAAGACATAACTCTGCATGCCACCAGCGAGCGTAAGTGAACGCCGTGACTCTGTCCTCTCCCAGAAGAAGGCTGAGTTGTCACTGGCCACGCACCCTTCTCTAGCCCAGCTGGCCACTAGAGTGGAATGAGCTGAGGCCCTCAGTGCACCCAGAGGTGTCTGCTCAGGGGTAGCAGCTCGCCCTCTTGCTCCTGGAGGGGCGAGCGCCAGTGGTAGGCCTTTCTCCTAGAGCTCCGGCTTCAGCCCAGCCTGGCTGCAGAGCGCGTGCTCCGAGCAGTGGCTCGGGGGATAGAGACGTGCCCAGCGGTCCTAGCTCCCGTGTCTGGGGAAGGAGAAAAGGAGCCGACACCTCTGCATGCCCGCAGCCACCCACAGTGCACCCGGAGAGGACGCAGAGTGTGATCAGCCAGGTCACGCAGGAGTGCAGACTGGGCTGGGGTGCCGAGGCCAGGCTCCAGGTGGGCTGCTTGGCAGAGGAGGGGCAGGCATCGGGGAAGCAGGATGGCATATGTGAAAGTACAGGCTGGGTAGGTGCAGGGGCACGTCGGTTTTCACGAGGTGCCCAGCGATAAGGGAGCTAAAAACTCCTCCTGTATGGTACCTCTCCTGAGGAACAGAGGGCAAGGCAACACAGCGGGGCTGGAGTCCCCAAAGCAGGGCAGCCAGTGAGGGGTGCCCTTCCTAAGAGGAGATGTCGGGGCCCCCAAAGCAGGGTGGACAGTGAGGGGTGCCCTTCCTAAGAGGAGACGTTGGGGCCCCCAAAGCTGGGCAGCCAGTGAGGGGTGCCCTTCCTAAGAGGAGACGTTGGGGCCC